TGAGCCGGTGGGTTGTGGCTGGGGATAAGTAGTAGGATTGTCCCTGAGCCGGTGGGTTGTGGCTGGGGATAAGGATTGTCCCTGAGCCGGTGGGTTGTGGCTGGGGATAAGTAGGATTGTCCATGGGTTGTAGCTGGGGATAAGTAGGATTGTCGAGTGGTGGGTTGTGGCTGGAGATAAGGATTGTCCCTGAGCTGGTGGGTTGTGGCTGGGGATAAGTAGGATTGTCCATGAGTCGGTGGGTTGTGGCTGGGGATAAGTAGGATTGTCTCAGATCCGGTGGGTTGTGGCTGGGGATAAGTAGGATTGTCCCCGAGCGGGTGGGTTGAGGTAAGGGCCTAAGTTGGAGGAATGTTTACTGCAAATTTGAAGTTGGGTTTATGGCCCTTAAATGACCACCACATTTTTCCTCTGTTTCTAATTTTTGGAATGTTATGTTATTTATGTTGAAATAATTTATAGGTTAATAAAAGGCTGTGATGGCCATTTTGACTCCAAAAACTTGGTTTGTGTATTTTGTATAGCTGGGATGGTGGAGGGTATGGGATGGTGGAGGGTATGGGATGGGGGATGGTGGAAGGTATGGGATGGTGGAAGGTATGGGATGGTGGAGGGTGTGGGACGGTGGAGGGTATGGGATGGTGGAGGGTTTGGCCTAGCAGGCTTGGATAGGTTGAAAGGCGTATATTCTACCCTTGTCAAGCAATTGCAACTTGAAAGTGTATCTCTGTTCTTCCTTCAGCTCTGATACCTCAATTTTCCAACCTTTAGGCTCCATTGACACTTGTGTGACTTGTTGTGGGGGTTTGGACACTAAAGTCGCATGCCAAGTTGTACCCCATGTTTTACATGGACCTCAATGTTAACCCTCAAAGGTCACATGAAAGCCACACTAGAATCTTATACATGTTAAACAGTTCTCCATTATCTTTGGTCAAAGCCAAAGTAGCATCTAAGTCACACCCTTTCCAAAGTTAATAGGAAAAGTTAACTTTAGCAGCTCCCACCCAACCCCCTTCCCTGCCCCAGTCCCTGCCCCCTCCAATGTTTTGCTGCCTCTAGCTCTCTGCTCTAGGAGAATGACAGCTTGCAGAGGATGGAAGAATAAAGCGGCTCTTTAAGTGGCATGACTACAGCGGTCAGGACTGGACACTGACATGGTCCTGATCCAGACCGCAGTCCGCCATTTAACAATGCCTGCTGTATAGATTGCACTATGTGGTGATACTGTATACATGACTACTGTTGTGGAATGGAGGGAAACAGAATTGTACGTATAACCTCCGTGGTAGGATAGAGATCTATATATATGGCTGCCGCTGGGCTTGAAAATTGCACATATGAGGTCAGTGCTGCATTGTTTTTGGCTCGTAGGTTTCCAAAAGATTTGTCCAGGCTTGACATATAATTTTGGGCCTGTGGCAGAAAGTAAAACATGTTCTGAATGCAGACCTGCCACTGCACGCAATACAATTTCATAAAGCAACCTTCCTATGTGAAATGCTGAATGGTGAGAATGCCATCCGTATCAGACACTGCAGAAGTCTTCTGTGCAAAGGATACATTTGGGGACCGCTTTGGCCATCCTTGGTACTTCACGTATCTGCATGCCTCCATGTATCCTCATGCCTTTACACATGGTACCACCTTATCCAATCCAGCATTTGTCAAGTATTCAGAGGACACCTAAAGGAGTTTTGGGCCTACAAAGCTGCCTATTGGACCACCAATCCCTACAATAACTTATCTTTTATCCTGATTCATGCTCAGCGCACATTTTTTATTAGCTAAATCACTTTATATGACCTTTTGATTGCCAACAGAACTACTTCCACTATATAGTCAAACATACTGAGGACTGGTTGCCCTATAGAGAACAGGAAGATCTGAAGTTGAAGGGTAACACCCTTGCTTACCTTTTGGCTCTCCAGGACCTTCTGTTTACTTTAAAGTTTTCAGAGCTTACCTTGATGTCAAACCATAATGTCATATCAAAAAGAAAGGTGGCTCTGAGGAAGAGGTTGAGATCTCGAAATGCGTTAGTGGTTGCTCTGAGGAAGAGATTGAGACCGTGAAACGTGTTAGTAGTTGCTCTGAGGAATAGGTTGAGACCCCGAAACACGTTAGTGGTTGCTCTGAGGAAGAAGTTGAGACCTCGAAACACGTTAGTGGTTGCTCTGAGGAAGAGGTTGAGACCTCAAAACACGTTAGTGGTTGCTCTGATGAAGAGATTGAGACCTCAAAAGGCGTTAGTGGTTGCTCTGAGGAAGAGGTTGAGACCTCAAAACACGCTAGTGGTTGCTCTGGGAAGAGGTTGAGACCTCAAAACACGTTAGTTGTTGCTCTGGGGAAGACGTTGAGACCTTGAAACGTGTTAGTGGTTGCTCTGAGGAAGAGGTTGAGACCTCAAAACATGTTAGTGGTTGCTCTGAGGAAGAGGTTGAGACCTCAAAACATGTTAGTGGTTGCTCTGAGGAAGAGGTTGAGACCTCAAAACACGCTAGTGGTTGCTCTGAGGAAAAGGTTGAGATCTCAAAACGCGCTAGTGGTTGCTCTGAGTAAGAGGTTGAGACCTTGAAAGGCGTTAGTGGTTGCTCTGAGGAAGAGGTTGAGACCTCAAAACACGTTAGTGGTTGCTCTGGGGAAGAAGTTGAGACCTCAAAACATGTTAGCGGTTGCTCTGAGTAAGAGGTTGAGACCTTGAAAGGTGTTAGTGGTTGCTCTGAGGAAGAGGTTGAGACCTCAAAACACGTTAGTGGTTGCTCTGAGGAAGAGGTTGAGACCTTGAAACGTGTTAGTGGTTGCTCTGAGGAAGAGGTTGAGACCTCAAAACACGTTAGTGCTTGCTCTGAGGAAGAGGTTGAGACCTTGAAACGTGTTAGTGGTTGCTCTGAGGAAGAGGTTGAGACCTCAAAACACGTTAGTGGTTGCTCTGAGGAAGAGGTTGAGACCTTGAAACGTGTTAGTGGTTGCTCTGAGGAAGAGGTTGAGACCTCAAAACACGTTAGTGGTTGCTCTGAGGAAGAGGTTGAGACCTTGAAAACGTGTTAGTGGTTGCTCTGAGGAAGAGGTTGAGACCTCAAAACACGTTAGTGGTTGCTCTGAGGAAGAGGTTGAGACCTTGAAACGTGTTAGTGGTTGCTCTGAGGAAGAGGTTGAGACCTCAAAACACGTTAGTGGTTGCTCTGAGGAAGAGGTTGAGACCTTGAAACGTGTTAGTGGTTGCTCTGAGGAAGAGGTTGAGACCTCAAAACACGTTAGTGCTTGCTCTGAGGAAGAGGTTGAGACCTTGAAACGTGTTAGTGGTTGCTCTGAGGAAGAGGTTGAGACCTTGAAACGTGTTAGCGGTTGCTCTGAGGAAGAGGTTGAGACCTCGTAATGTGTTAGCCTGTTGGAAGTCCAGGGTTCCATTTTTTTGGACTTATATGCAGTGTGGATTGGACACCGCTGTGTAGTGTGATGTCCCTTTGACCTGTTTGCCTATTGTGAGCACGATACTTACTTTTTATCCTTCCAATAAAATTTTTTACGGTGCGCCCTCTGTTTGTTTTTCTTTGTATCCAAAAAAAAAGGTCTTCCTGACTGGAGAGGCAAACGATATAGGAAGAGTGTACATTTTCAGTCCCCACACACATTCCACAATAAGTTCCTTTGCTATGGGTAAGTGCAGAATAGGGGCCTCATCTTCTGGTCAGAATCAAAATTTGCCTTCATAGACGAAATTGGTAAGGATGCCATCTTGGGAAGCTCACAGACCCTCCTCAAGAACTATCATCTAAATGTGTCATCTGCTGATTTTGAGCCATATTTCAGTAGACATGTCTCATCAACTCTCTGCCAACCCTCAAAGGAGAGCCCCGTATCTCTCACAGATATGCTGTTTTGGAATGTCTGTGGGGAAGAGGATATGAATTGGTTATATTTCCCTGTAAACTCAATGTCCGTAACTATATTGCAACCGTGGATCGTACTTCCTGGTCTCCTTTTATGTCTTTTATTTACTGGGGCATGCAGATGGAGCCTAAAAATGTACAGTATGTTTCCTTTCCAATTCTACAAGGGCGGATGGTAGTCTCACATGTGCTTTTATAGAGGTCACATGGAAATAATACAGTAAGCAATGCTTATTGTCTTCATACTAGTTTGTATATCTTCTAGCTTAACTAGAGCAGCCTTTCTCAACCTGTCTACCCTAGAGGAACCCTTTAGGTAATGTTCTGGTCTTGGAGAGCCCCTGCTAAATCCAATGCACCTGAGGTCAGTGGGAAATATTCCCTATATGTTTTTTGGCCATTTGGAAGAATGTTACTCGTACAGTGGTGGCCAGAATGCCACCCTCACAGGTAGCCGAAAAAAATTATTGTCATCACGTCACTGGTTCCACCAAGTGATGTTGGCCCAGGAACCATGCAGGCACCATCACATGAGAGGTCAACCCGCTCCAGCTCAAGGGACCCCAGAAACCTCTGGAGGAACGTCAGGGTTCCAAAGAAAGCTGGTCGAAAATGGCTGAACTAGAGTCTACATTTTCAAACATTCTCACAAACACAAGGTAATCTGCAGTACATCAGAGGATGCGAATGCAAAGGGGTGTGGCCTACAACACACTACATTATCTCCAGAGATAGAGTGACAAAACTGCTATGGGCAGCACATCCATGTATTTTTTTAAAACATTAAAATGCATGATAAAAGGTTCCACTACCACCCTGTTTGTCACTTCATCCCTCCCTTATTGTTGTTTCTGCATGCAGTTAGATTTCTGTTGGTGGAATAGTGTACGTACTGTCAGGAGAGTACTAGCAACTCATGGGGCCCCGGGGACACAGCTTGTCACATGGTACAAGGCTGTTGTGAATGGCCCTGTACCATGTGATCTCTGTGATCATTCACAGCTTTCACACGTAGTAAGCAATGATGTCAGAAGTGACATCTTGCTTGCTACTCTGCATGTGATCACTGATTGGCCAATCAGTGATCACATGATCGGGACCTCGCATAGTACGACGATCGGTGTTCCACTGTGTCTGCAGTACACAGCGGGCACCGGATCGCGGTGCTGCGCTCTCCCAGGGAGCACGCACAGTCCAAAATGGTGGGCGCCGTTTATGAATGGCAACCCGCCCCTGGTCTGCCACCATCCGGCCGTTTATATACAGCTGCTGGACGGGAAGCGGTTAATGGATGGGGGGGGTAGGTATTGGTTTAGTGGGATTTACAAGCCGCCATCTTTAGTCGCCTGGTCATGCGTGCTCTTCAGTGTGTAGGATCAGCTTTAGTTTTTCCAAACAGGAGCATGTTTCCTCAAATCTCATCGTCATTAACGCCGAACAAGAAATGCAACACATCTGTTGTTTTAGCAAATGAAATAATTTACTTTCAAACTTAATATTACAGGATTAAAATGATCTTGTAAGGAACACAATCAGTACAATGCAACTTTTATATAAGCTGTGCTGTGCCTGTGAATGTTTGTGGAGCTGGGAGGAGAGATTTATATAACTTATAATGTGTAATAAAAGCAAAAAAATTAAAAAAATTCAAACAAAAAAAAAATCTTTACCCAGTTCAGATTGGCAGCCCACAAATGTGCTTTTTTATAAGTGTCTATGCTAAAATATCCATTGACACAAAATTATTTTCTGATAAGAAAAACTATAACTTGTACCGGAATATAAACATTCAAACATAAAGAGAGCACCACTGCGGGGCCATTTCCCAGAATATATATATAATTGTATAGAAGGCTTAATTTTTCCTTTAAAAAAATGTGCATTTTCCCTAGAGCTGTCCCACAGACATCCATCCCGACATTCGTATCCACTGGATATCACAAACGAATGGAAATTCAAAGCGATGATCAACAAGCATGTCGTAAAAAAATATTTTGATACATTTGATACCTTTAAACCAGAGGTTTCAAAATGGTGGCCCTTCAGCTGTTGGGAAGCTACAAGTCCCATCATGTCTCTGCCTTTGGGAGCCATGCTTGTAACTGTCACTCTTGCAATGCCTCATGGGATTTGTAGTTTGGCAACAGCTGGAAGGCCACCAGTTTGACACCCTTGATCTACAGGCACCTGTATAGGCAATTTTTGTTGTGAAACTACAAGTTCCACCATGCCTCTACCTTTGGGAGTCGTGCTTGTAACTGTCAGTTGTGCAATTCCTCATGGGATTTGTAGTTTGGCAACAGCTGGAAGGCCACCAGTTTGACACCCTTGATCTACAGGCACCTGTATAGGCAATTTTTGTTGTGAAAACTACAAGTCCCACCATGCCTCTACCTGCCATGCTTGTAACTGTCACTCCTGCAATGCCTCATGGGATTTGTAGTCATGACACCCTTGATCTACAGGCACCTGTATAGGCAATTTTTGTTGTGAAACTACAAGTTTGCCTCTACCTTTGGGAGTCGTGCTTGTAACTGTATCAGCAATGCCTCATGGGATTTGTAGTTTGGCAACAACAGCTGGAAGGCCACAGTTTGACACCCTTGATCTAGGCACCTGTATAGGCAATCAGTTGTGCAATTCCTCATGGGATTTGTAGTTTTGGCAACAGCTGGAAGGCCACCAGTTTGACACCCTTGATCTACAGGCACCTGTATAGGCAATTTTTGTTGTGAAACTACAAGTTCCACCATGCCTCTACCTTTGGGAGTCATGCTTGTAACTGTCAGTTGTGCAATTCCTCATGGGATTTGTAGTTTGGCAACAGCTGGAGGGCCACCAGTTTGACACCCTTGCCTTTAAACCATTTTATCCATCTCAGGCCAATCCCATTTTGAAGACTTTCTCTACAAATTATGAGTTGCAAGTAAAAACAATGGGCTGTAATGAGGTTTCCTGGAGCCAACATGGAAGCATACAGGTGGTGGTATCCCCACCAACGTCCGCCCACAAGACCGTTGCACAAGTGGGGGTGATTTCACCATCCCTAGGTTAAAGTGGAAGACAAGTCAAAACCCAACTAAGTTGAAATCGACTCCCACCTCCATTCTAAAGCCTAATCCATCTACCTGTAAAAGGGAACGACGTCTATACTCGCCTATTCTGAAGTTGCTCCGGTCTGTTGACATGACCAGGAGGGGACTGACAACTCATGGGGCCCCCGGACAATAGGAGATCATGGGGCCCCTGTGTCCTCATCCACACTCAAACCACGCCCATAAAAAGCCTATGAAAGATACCAGGGGCATCTCATGGGGCCCCCTACTGACCCTGGGCCCTCAGGCAGTGCCCGAGTTTCCAAATGGTCAGTCGGCCTCTGGACATGACCAACTTCCAGGGCTGGTTTCAGTATAGGGGAGGAATAGACAACAGATGCCCCATAGTATGCCATTGGGTGATGTCAACACCCAGGTTCTGCACCCGTTGTTGGCGATCTCTCCTCTACACCGAAACCAGCGTTGAAGATTTCAGGTGACCGGACCAGCGCTCCTTCAGAATTTCCTTTTATAGGGTAGATAGGATAGGCTTAGAATGGGGGAGGGAGTAAATGTAAGCTTGGTCAGGTTTTGACTTGCCTTCCGTAATCAATACATCCAGATCGAAGATAGCACACGTGCAAACAACAGTCATTTAGGAATATGCAGTTCAGTTTTGGGCTCCAATTCACAGCAAGAACATTGGGGAACTGGAGGAAGTACAGAGCAGGGC